CCTAAGTCTTAACGATCACAGAGAAGAACGCACAGGTTAGAGATTGGGAAGGAATTCAGTGTCACAGGACGGGGACGACAACGGCGACATTTAACGGAGGAATTTTATAACACATACTACCAGGATGTTTCTAATTAAAATATCTACGTTATTACATTTATATTTTCTGAAACGTGCCCTTCACCAAGGCTATACCTTTCACCAATGTCACGACCAAACACCAAGAATCCCCTCACCAACTCGTGACATTATAGAAGGAAGTGGGGATATTGCCGAACTTCTACTTATAACAATGGCTATCTGGCCTGTAAGATTCATAGAACTTCGACTTGTGTTGGATCGGTTTCAAAAAGAATATTTCTGACTGAGGACCTGGTAGAAGTAAGAAAAATTGCACTATATTAAGAGGTATGGTAGCGAAGCGGCAGAAGTATACGAAAGATTATTATCGCAAAAATTAATGTGAAGTCGACTTGCCTTATACTCATCGATCGAAAAATAAACTTTTATGAAGCTGGAAAAACATGCAGAAGTATTTTGATTCTATTATGAGATACAGTGGACAAACTACCACAAAAAATATAGCAAATACTATGGTCTTGCTTCTAAAATTCATAGAAAGTAAACTTGTGTGGGGAATGAACATTTCTGAACGATTACAATCTGAGAAGCTGGAAAAATTACTCTTCCTTGATTAAGTTTAGAGGTTCGGTAGATAAACTATCAAAGAATATAGCAAGGACAATAGTGTGACTTCTAAAGGGCCTTATTGTTAAAACTCTAAAAAATCGAATTTAAAAATTGGAGATTGTAACCTGAAAAGCTGGAAAAAGAGAAATAGCTATAGCATTGCGTTAAAATGGACTGTATGTATAGTGTAGCGGGTGGTCGCTTTTGAAAAAATGTGTATTTCGTCCAGCATAAGAAAATTTACACATGTACCGCTTCATAGCGAACCTGAACGAAAATATCAATATCAAAAAACGTATTGCGGAAAGCAGGCTCGGTTGTCACGATCTCTTCGGTTATAAAAGTTTCGTTCCGTTTTGTAAAAAGACGAGCACGTGACGGAGATGCGGGTTTCCGATTCGTTTAAAAAAGTACGCGGGTTGAAATTTTTTGTACAGAAAATAGATCCAGTTTCAGATGTTCTAACGGACGAGATTTAAAAAGCGAACAGAAATAATGTTATATCTAACTTTTGCACATAACCAAGAATGGGATGGGAAGTGCTTTGATAACCAATAGTGTACTTCATGACACCACTGCTTCATAGAAGATAACATTTTTAGCATTTTTGGCAATTAAACTAGCAAGTAGGATGGAGAACTACTTTCCATTTCAATTTTCAATTATATTCACCAAAACTAAAACTAAGCTGATTATAAGGGGATACACATTTTATATGTAACTACTCTCAAAATTAAGTTACCCCCTTGAATCCCCATACCGTTTGTCAATCTCTCACACACCAGGTGATTTCTTCACGATATCCAATATACCTAAAAGCCTGCCGCCCAAAATTTTCCACGAAAAATATTTAATAAACAATTTCCGCGTCGTTTGTACGTTTGTAAGTGGCAATTGAATTTTGACAGGGATTAAAATTTCCCGTAAACACGCCTGTTGAAATATTGAAAATTTCCGAGATCGGTTTAAATAATTATAGAATGGATAAATTTTCCACGTTTAGATGGGGAGAAGTATTGTTTTCAGACAGTAAAACTTAGTCTCATAAAAAATGTAAGCGCTTAATGTTTTCCTCCCCCAGTACGACGGCCCAGTCAGTTAGTAAAAACGGAAAGTCGAGGATTTCGAGATAAGATATATCGGTAGTCTAAAATGCGTTTTTTTTTTGTAAAAGTTTAGATTAAGAGCGGCCATTTTCAAATATAGATTTCTTTAATTGGTAGATAAACTTCCGGCGCACTATAGCTGTGCAATATAAAAAAAGACGCGATAAGAAAAGAAAGTAGTAACCCGCTCTTAATAAACGTGGAAAGCTATGAAAAATAAGAAATACAACTTCAATTAAAGCTTGCTTAATTTACAGGCGCTGTCAACTTTAGATAAGACTTAAAGCGCAAATTTTAGGTTATAGCAGTGAATTTATATATCATTTACAGCCGGTAAAGTGCATTTAACTGTTTATATAGGTACATAAAATTTCTCATACTATTTAGTGGTAAACGAGTATCTTGACCCAACAAAAATGGATTGTTCTAATCAGTGATGACCACCTTAAGTAGAGAAGCTTATTTATTTTTTTCTGATGATGGTTTCCGAGATCCCCGTGATAGACATCCTTACTTTGGATACAGCAATCGTGAAAAGTCTTCGAATACGGCCGTTCTTAAGTGAGCCTCCCCACCCCCTCATCAGATACGCCGTTTATACTCAGTAAATATCATCGCACTTTTTGGTCTTACCGACTAAAATTACAGTTGAAATTTTATTTACGGATTTTTAACAACTGATTCTGGATTCGACATTATGTTGCACTTTTTTCCCCCCATTTTTTGCTTGATAAACTGTTCACACCCCAGAACCATTGACGAAGTAGCCCACTCAATAAAAATTCAGGTTTGCCTTAAAGACAAAGTGAAGTTTCCTGTAAATAGAACAAGGATATTGTAATTTCCACTCATTTTTTAAAAGTATCTAAAATTTATATAAAGATACTTAACACAAAGCTTGATCACACTTTAGGTACATTCTCATTTAATATGTGTTTCGGAATCAATTTTTTGTCATTGTCAATCAATTAATTGTGTGGTTATTCGAACCGATTGTGCGACCAAATTGTCAGATTTTTCTTTTCGTATTCCAAGATTTATTTCAGGTGTTGACTAAAATTTGCGTAGTAAATTCTGTGGAAGTTGATCGAGGCCACTGGGTTTTCCAAATAACTAATTTATGCCAATATTGCGACTTTTCTTGGTAGCAGAAGCCGGAAGTGTACGAGAAGCAATTATAAAAATTCTAAGTTCAATTTTTCTTTTTGAGTTAGCTGGGCAGGTGTTTTGTGGGTAATGTAGTTGATAAGATAGGTTAGGAAATTTGTGGCATAAGTACACGTTCTCGAACTGTGTGGACCTGGACCCTTTTAATCTTAACACTTTGAATAATCTCTTATTGTCCAAATATTGGAAAGGTCCTTTACTAGTTTCTAGGGCTTCTAAGGCCATTTAGGAATTTTCAAAGACCTTTCAAGACCTCCAGGAGTCGCCAACCGCTTTTAAAGGCTCCCTCAATGGTGTATAAATGTCTTCTAGAAATTATA